TATATTGGTATATTGGTATATTGGTATATTGGTATATTGGTATATTGGTATATTGATGATGATATTGATTGATATATTAATATTTAGATACATCGATATCAATATATTGGTTGACTTTGAAAAAAGTTTAGACTGGTGAACCCATATATGTATGTATATATAATGCTTGACAGCAGTCTAGCAAGACTAATAACAAACTAAATAGCTGATTAGTTCGGTATACTAGCGGAATAATAATTAGTTTGTCTTATTTGTCGTCCTTTCCCGAGTTTATTGCGGTCGTAATGTGGCTTGCGCCCGCTTTACAAACTTCTATAACAATCTTAACTTCTTTTTTTTGGTTTGTTAAACTTATCCTTTTCTGAGCGCTTGCGCCTCAACGCCTTCGTTTGTAGTTCCTAATGATGCGCGCTCCACTGCTCCAACGTCGTTTGAGGCATTTACGACCAGACTCAATAGCCGTCTCCTCCCCAGTCTGGCTTCTAGTCTAACCACAGACGCTGACTGACTGGATTTGCATGAACTTCTGGGCAGCTGATAACGCCACAAGGCTGACTCAAGTGAAGACAACGAGCTTTGGTGGGCATTGGCGGGATTATGAGAGCCAACCAAGAGTTGAGCCAGCAACAGTTGCTTGACAATTCGCAATAATTTTTTCACACACACTCACACACATACGCACACCCATACTGAAAGTAAAATCGTGTTTCCATTTCGAGAAACACGTGCCATACTGTTTCTGTGCATCCTTCGCTCCTTTATACCTTTACCCCTTGGCGTAATTTAACGAGCTTCTAACTTTATGTTTGCTTGTCATGTACACATTTTGTTTTTATTGGAGGCCCACCAGCTCGCCCATCCCCGCCGCCAATGCCCTGTTTAAGTGAAACATTTTTAAAGTCAACTTCAAGGCGTGCGTGGGCCCCAAAGACACGCGCGCCACTCAACAGTTTTCGGTTAATGTTAATGCAAAAAGTAAAAATATAAGAAAACATCAAGTTGAGAACTTTGCTGGCATCTCAGACGCTTCAATGCTCTGAAGCTATTTGTGGCTTGACTTGCTGAAGCACTACAACTGAACTCGCAGCTGAAAAGATAATACCTAATATTGTAAAATATCTATATGCGAAATAAAATACATAGTTTACAACGAACTGGGATAGTATTATGTAGCACATCTAAGCCACATCTAAAGTTTATCTAGTGAATTTTTATCAACTCTAAAATTTCACTACACAACATTTTTTATGTTACAAATCTCATGACATATTAATCAGACCCTTTCTGACTCTATGCTAAAAAACAAAACACGACAAAAAAAAAACTCAAATACAAATGCGAAAAGGACTGACATGTGCTCTGAGTTTGCCATTTGTCGTTTTTTGTTGTTGTTGCTGTTGATGTTGCTGTTGTTGTTTGGTCGGTTGTATGGGGCCTGACTCTGCCTGGGGCCAAATGCAAAAGCCAAAGCATAAGTAAACTTTTTAGCTCGACTCCCACTGTTGGCTGAACGCCATTTGTTTATAAATTTAATTTGTCTTAGGCAAGAAGTCTGTCGACTTGAGCTTTGCTTTCCACCAAATTTTTTATTTATTTTTCGCTCTCTTCCCTCTTTTTCTTTCTCTCTCTCGTTCTCTTTCAGTCTCGTTTCTTGTGTATTCTTTTTTTTTTGCAAAATATATATTCAGCATATTTAGTTAATCCGTCAGGTCTGGCTGCAGTCAGCAGATAATCTAAGAACCTCCGCCAAGGCTGCACAGAATTTTTAATAGGCCGCCATTAAAGGCTAAAGGCCGCGCGAGCTGCTAGCTTAAGAATATATGACCTTAAGGCCAAGCAAACCAAATACTCTGCAAATAATCTCACATTTTTACAAACTAACAAATTGTGGCATATACATACATATCGATGGAGGCAAACATAATTTGATATATGTATGTAAATACTTGGATGTGAGCTTGGCTATGCATGAGACGCACTTACTTATGTGCTTAAGTGTGTGTGTGTGTGTGTGTGTGTGTGTATGTGTGAATACAATGTATAAGTATATAAAAGTTACTCACCTTCTACTTCCCCTCCTCTCTGTCCATTGAACTAGAATGTGTGGGTTTTGTGACTTGCTATTTTATGCGTTATTGAATTTCACTTAACATCAACGGCGCCCAACACATGTGTGTGCGTGTGTGTGGGTGTGTGCTTGTTGTTTCTTCCCCTACTTAAGTGCCCAGCGCTGTAAAATGCCACTTGAGTTAAGCACTGAGCTTTGGCTGTGTTGTGGCTTAGTTTTTGATATTATTTTATTGCTACACTGTATTTTATTCGAATAAACACATACTACTCTTTCTTATACCAAAACTAAAGCCATTGCTGTAGCTCTATTTTGTACTACG